TCTGCGTTGTTGCCAAGAGCACCTTTTATCCCTCAACATGCCTTTAAAAAGGACCATGGTTCAAGCAACATGAAATGTAATCCTTCCCCACTTTTTGAATCTGAGCAGTAGCACTGCATAATTCCTGAGAAGAGCCCTAATTCAAATGACCTGATGCATGGGTCCTCAAACTACGGCCCTCTGGCTGGATCTGGCCCGCCATGCCCATTTATGCAGCCCACCATAGAGGTTTTGGACTCGCTGCGCGCGCCCATCAGTGGCTTGCTCACAAGGAGATCGTTTTGGACTGGCACCTAGAAAACAACCTCCGCGTGCACCCATCCCTGCCCCGCCCGTGTGCACCCTGCCCCGGCCAGCGCTCCCCACCTGTACCTCCTTGGCAGCCCGTGCCCATCACTGGCACCTTTCAACTGGCTCCCTGTTGAAAAAGTTTGAGGACCCCTGGAATAAAGTGTTTGCAATTATTTTTCAGTTAATACTGCACTTCACATTTTGCAGAACTAAACAATAGTTTAACTTCCTCCATTCTCCTTGTCCAGCATGGCTATGAAAAAGCGTTTGGTGCTTTTTGCTTTCAGCTTAGACCAAGGGTCCTCCAACTTTTTTTCACCAAGGGGCCAGTTGAAAGGTGCTGGTGATGGGCGCAGGGCCAGCGGTGCGCCAGCAAGGGGGTGGGGGCGGCATGTGTGGGTGCGTGCACTGAGGTGGGGATGGGGCACGCGGTGAGGTTAGGGCATGTGTGCGGGCGAGGGGAGGCGAGGCGGGCGCACGAGGCAGCGGCTTGCTCGCTTGGAGATCATTTTCTTCAAGCAAGCAAACCGCTGCCTCCCCGTTTGCAGAGCAAGGTAGGCGGCAGCGGGAGTGCACGTGGCAGGTCCAGATGGGCATGGCTGTCTGGATTAATGGGCATGATGGGCCGGATCCGGCACGTGGGCCGTAGTTTGAGGACCCATGGCTTAGAGTAACTACAAGTTGTGGCTAATGTTTCAGACTAATTACAGTTAAGCCAAGTTCAAAGTTTTGTAAGCCGCCCCGAGGCTTCGGCGAATGGGGCGGCCTAGAAATAAACTAACAAACAAAACAAAACATGGGTTATGAAACTGTCTGGTTTAATAAAACCATAATTAACAGCCACAGCTTAGGGCTCAGATGAAAATTAGGGTTAATGAAAATTAGCTTATTTGTAGCCACACCAAAGGGTAATCATGAGAACCCAAAGTTTTCTGCTCTCTTATCTTGACATGCTAAACTATCATTTAGCCTGGCATCTGAATCTTATTTAAAAATTACTTTTAAATAGATCTCTCAGAACTGAAAGTAGAACAACTTTCTATGGATATTTTTCCTCCTGTAGTCTCTATTATAACTCTATGCAGCAAGATATAAAATAAAAATAAAATATGTTAAATATTTAAAGCTATTTAAAAAGTAAAATGAAAATGTATGTTTACATAAAATTATATGTGTACATATATGTAGCTGCAATACTCAGATATGATACATTCCCTGTAGAAGTAATTCTTTGAATCCTTTTCAGTCTCTTGTTTGTTTTGGTTCTCTAAACTGTAGGTTTCTTATTGATCTTGTCATCTGATACAATCAAAAATTGGCATGGGTCAGTTGAACTTTTTTTCTGTATTAATCATCTCTCTGGCAGATTTTTGACACCAAATCATTTGAGAAAACACATGGCCTGAATCATACCCTTTTGCTTTTCTATGATGTGTGTTTCTGGTAATATTTGTACATGGATAGCTACATCAAACACAAGACTAGTTGAATTCAGTTATGTTGAAAGTCTAAAATCCAATTTGAACATTGAATTGAGTCCGCCCTCCTCCTATCTTTGTTCATTCCACAAAGTTGGTAAATATGCTGCCCCAAATATAAATAATTCAGTAGTTCTGTATTCTAAAACCTGAGACTAGTGTATTTCAAATTGTAGCTTGTTTACCCCTCAGTATGCTGCATGGCCCACTTTGAAATTCAAGAGCTTGAGAAATTTATTTATGATGTGTGGAGTCAAGGGGTGTTCTGCTGTTCAAAGAAAAATAGCTCCAGAGGAAGAGAAGAAATCCCAGTGGGCATAAATGCGACTAACTGTCAGGCTTCAGGGCCAGAGTCAATAATATTGGAAGTAAAAGATCTGAGGGTCACAAGTTAATCATGCCTACTTTAGGCATACTTGAAATAGTTATTTGGAATGTGCGTACATGGTTAATGAATATAGAGGACCAACCTTGGATCCAGACTGTTTGCATGCAGTAATCTTTTAAATGTTCTAACATAGTTGCATTGAAAGTTGTTAGAAATCTTGTTCAGACTTGCTTAATAACTTCAGAGCCATTGGAAAATGTAATTAAAAACTTGCTGAATTACATGTAAGTATTGTTAGTGTTTATCCAAGTATTGATTGGATTCGAGATGCATTTGTGTAAGGATAGGAAAATACTACAATAGCTCTAATGCTTACTTCTAGTATCAATGTTGAATATAGTCTTTTTCTGTTGAGGTTTGCTGTTGTTCAATTCCAGGAGTACTTACCAACCTTCACTTAAGCATCTTCAGCAAAGTGCATATGCTTGTAGCTGAAAAATGTCTCTATTGCAAACGTGCTTGCAGTCCTTTATGCACTTTCCAAGGGAGGAAGCCCTTTGAACTCAGTGGATCTTATTGTAGGTACACATGTGTAATGTTGTGATTTTAATGTAGTTAGCAGGCTACTTGAATCTAAAAAAACTCATAAAGGACAATGTAGGCTTAATGTTTCAGACTTTATAACAACAGTTAAGAATACAGAATTTAGTTCTTGTGGCAAGCATCTTTTTTGCACATCTCTTTAATTTAACAAATTTTCTGGGCAGAAGTGGGGTAGAGAATAGACAATTGTTCCTGTAATTGTGTTAACTTCAGAGGTAAGTTAGCTTGATTTCAAGGGAGAAACCCCCCCCCTTTTTTTTTTGAGCTGGGCATGGCTAGGTAGAAGGAAATCACCCAAGTTTACAATTCCAAATGATTCCCTGCTTTGAAATAGAAGGAGGTTATGAGGTTGCATGCTCTTTTCTTTCCTGTAAAATTTGGCCTTGGATGCTTGCAAGTACTCTGGATCCAGAAGGATCTGGACAGACTATGGAAGTGGGTGGGGGGCAACAGGATGGCGTTCAGTGTGGGTTAGTGCAAGGTCTTGCACTTGGGTCATAGGAATGGGTGTCATGAGTACAGGTTAGGGGACTGATGGCTGGAGAGCAGCACTTGTAAAGTGGACTTCAGGCTAAACATGAGTCAGCAGTCTGATGCAGTGGTCTAGAGGGCGAACGCCACCCTTGGATGCATAGCCAGAAGCATGGCTTCTTGATTGAGAGAGGTATTACTGCCACTCTGTACGACTCTGGTGCGCCCTCAACTAGAGTATTGGTATTGTGTTCAGTTCTGGGCTCCACATTATAGGAAGGCTATAGCCAGGTTGGAATTGGTGCAGTGTAGGATCACAAGGATGGTGGCCAGATTGCAGAGGAAGTCGTATGAGGTGAGACTGAGGGAACTGGGTCTTTTCAGCCTGGAGAAGAGGAGACTCCAAGGGGATCTGTTGGTGACATATAGGTAGGTATGTGAGGGGATGCCACGTGGACGTGGGTAGAGACCTGTTTTCCCCTGTGGAGGAGGAGGGGACGATGCATTCCAGTGGAGCAAAGCTCAGGGAACCAAGGTTCAATTTGGACACTAGGAAGTACTTGATGACAGTTAGGACCGCAAAGGTATGGAATGGGCTTCCATGGAAGGTGGTTGAAGCCCTGTTGGTGAGGGTGCTCAAGGATAGGCTAGATGTGCACATGGTAGACATGTCATGAGTGGAGCCAGGTGGAGCCGGGGGGCTCAGACTAGATGGCCCAGGATGTGCCTTCTAACTTCTGTTCTTCATACCAGTGCTATAATGTCAGATACTGTGGCTTACAATTCCCCTCAGCCTTGGCCAGCAGTGGTATTGGAGAAGGTAATGGGAATTATAGGCCAAAACATCTGGAAGGCCACAAACTACTTCCTTCTCTTGTAGTAGATGTATTTAAGATAATGTTTACAAACTGCTTCAGTGAACCTTAATGCTTGTAGCCCACCCAGGCAGCAGTGTGGCTAATGGGGAAAGTTTAGGAATCAAACAAACAAACAAATAAATGAGACTGAGTGGCAGGAGGTAGAACAGAAAAATGGCTGCTTTATCTATGCTGCTTTTAACTATTTGGCTTTAGCCAGTGTTCATTTTTGTTTTAAATCTGGAATCCTTATTTAAGGGTTGAGAAGATAAAAAAAAAAACGTGAATGTTAAATAAATAAAATACTAGAATACTTGGCATAGCTATATTATTGAACTATTTCATGCACAGTGTCTTGGGTCTTTTACAATACAGATTAGCATTAGAACAGGCCTTTTGTGTTTAACTTTGTACTGTTTCTGATCTGTAGTATATTTTGCATGCTGATATGTTCAGCAGGACTTACTCCTAGATAAGGCTTTGTGGGGTTGCATATTTTACTTGGAATGTTTTATATGATTTCTTTATTTTGTGTTCAGTATGAATTGGAGTGACAGTTTTAAGTACCTCTTATTTGCATAATGGAATATTTGGCTTGAAGGAATGCAAAAATAAGTGAATTCTTACCCTTGTATTATATTTCTCAAGGTATTGTCAAGAGGTGGGTACCTTTTTAAGTATGTAAACTTATAGTAACTTGGGAACTGAAATTTCTGATTTCCAGAAATCTTCATTGGCTTCCTGCTTTTATGTAATCAAGGCATAGAGCTTCTTCTCTGGAATCCCATTTATAGCATGCTTTTTAAGTGTGTTTGGTGAAGGACTGCTGTATTTTTGTTTTGCTTTAACTGTGATATTATTCACCGTAGCTTGTTCCTGCTTCTCACTTCTAAGTTGCCTTGGGAACCATTATGGCAAAAAGAAAGCTATAATATTTATCCTACATAATGATACATTGTACTTCCCTGATAGGTATTTGCCATGAGGTGTTGAAGCCTTGTTTCACTGATTTGGAGAGACTGGACCTAAATGGCGCAGCATGACTTTGCTCCAGCCTGGCTTAGTTTTCCTACTCCACCATCATCATCAAAGGTGTGTTCTTACAGTCTGTTACATCACTAATATCAGAACCTCCTTTCCATTCACGTTTTAAGATTAGCACAGCTTGTATAAATCATTAACTAGTGTACTAGTTGACTTAAGGATCTCCTTATTAGAACCTTGCCCATGGGTTTTAGGGGGATTTTTTAAAATTCTGAGGGGATGGGAGAAGAAGTAAACCAAAATCTTGTGCTGCTGTCATCAGATCCCCCAGCTTCCACCAGAACTATTTCCGAGGAAGCATCCTGTCCCAAGGAATAGCAGTAGAAGCAGATAAAACTTAAACTCATGAGCAGAAAACAAATGAAATAAGAATAGGCCAGTCCAGATAGAATAATGATATAGTGGAAACCAGGGTACAATTAGGTCCGGAATGGCTACATTCCCTCTACTTGCGCGACTGAATAAATCACAGCCATCATGCTTTTTTCTCCCTTCCTCCCAGTCTCTTTCCTTGTGTCTTTCAGATTCACAGTCTGAGGTTAGGGACTGTTTATTTTTATTTTTAATATACTGCTATAGCGCTCTAGCGCGCGCTCTCTCTCTCATCCAAAGTGTGTGTGAGAAGAGAGAGAGAGAAGGGGGGCATCTAAGATCAGGATGATAGTGCTTCAGACAAATTTTAGTTCCATTTCCTTAAGCTAGATTATTTCTAGTGGGAAACCTGTATATAATAAAAGCATGGAAATGCCTGCAGCTACAGTCTTTCAAATAGGCTGACTTGCCCAATATTTTGCAGTGATCAAATAGCTCCAAATTCCTACTGTGTAGAGAGCAGATTGCCCTTTAAAATTTCATTATGGGTTCTGTTGTAAGCTTAGTCTGCCCATTAATTAATAGGACAATGGCAAAGTTTATTTCACTGACTGTCTGCTATAACCGCTAGTGTCTTTAAACTGGAATACAAGCAGCTCTCAGTGGGTAGAGTTATTGGACTAGGAGCACAGGGAGCTAAGTTATTAGCATTACATTACATTTAGATCCTTTTTCTTATAAGAAATTCAAGATGCCTTACATAGTTCCATTTTATCCTCACAACAATTCAGTGAAGTAGATTTGGCTGAGCGTGAGTGCCTGACACAAAGTCACCCAGTGAGATTTCATGGCTAAATAGAGACAAGAACCCAGATCTCCCAGGTCTCCAATACAGCACTCTGACCACCATGCCACAATGACTCTCATTAAAATCCTTATTCAGCCATAACATTCAAAAAGAGCTGAATGACCATGACCAATTATTCCTGGCTTAAATTATCTTGCAAGGTGTTTCTGAGGATTAAATGGTGGGGAAAGGCCACAATATAATAAATAAACATTCCCTGTTTTAAAAAAGCAAATGTACCATTTCATAGCAACAGCCTTTTTTTTTTAACTTAGCAGGCATTAAATGTTATGCTTTAGAAGAAATTGACTGATCAGATGCATAAAAAAGCGGAACTATGAGAAGTAGTATCTGGATTTTGAGGTTAAGTAAAATTACAGAATAAGCTGTATCTTATTGTCGGCTTTGTATTAGATCTAGGGATTAGTGGACCTGTGTAGGCATATGAATCTAGGGACTGCCATCTGTGTTTCTGTAGTGGAATTCAGTGTATGGAATGTGTATGCCTGTTCTTTGCCTTCCAACTGTATGTTGGAAGGCAACATACTTTCAGTTGTCAGGCTATGGCTATTCATGACTCTGCCAACTAGGCAGCATGGACACTGTCTAGCTTGTAGAGACGTATTATTTTGACAGTAAATTCATAATTTCTGATCCTATGCACATGCACTAGTTCAGTGGAACTTGCTTCCAAATTATTATGCCCAGGATAGCAGCCTTGGCCTCTCAAGTAAGTGATCTTGCTTAGTATCATTGCATGATAGCTTAATAGCTATCTGTCACTTGTGTAGGAGCAGATAGAATCTTGTAGAGAGCTACATGATCAAGGATTTTGAACTGGGCTCCCAGATTGTTTAAGCACTATATTTAGTTGTAAAGCAGTATTTGTTTAAAACGATTGTATCTCATTTTTAGGAAAAAGCCCTAGGCAGCTAACATAATTGTTTAAAAGGCAGTGAATTGAAAGCAGATTGACCATGATAAGAATGGAAGGGCTCCTTCCATTTATTAAAGGCATTGGGATTCAGTAGAAGCCCCTTGCTGGGAGAAAGGGGAAGTCTGTCTTTGCTGGTTTCCATGTTTCATCTCCTGGTACTCTGGAGATTCCTGTAGTTCTCCACAGCAGGTTTTTAGGGGAAGGACAATTGCAGGTATTGCCTTTCTACTCCCTTCTCCAGATTCATTGAAACTCCATTAAAAAGTAAACTGGAAGAACCCAGTCACTACATTTGTAAAGCCTGTGTAGGATAAAACAATAAATAAAATATTTCAGCTGTCATAGCAACCAGTGCTTGGATTGAAATTATTTTCAATGGGAGAAATTTATTCCTGCTCTGTTTCTTAATAAATTTAAGCCTGATGTCAGTTAACCTTGATTTTAATCACTCAACCTAATATTTTGCCCTTTACTATTTTAAAATGCATGCTTGAAAATGGTGTCCTTAACTCGCCTTCCTATAAGGTGAATGATATGTGTTGTATTTGATGAAGAGGCAGTGGACTGGAGAAAAAAAAAAAACCAGTTGAATCTTTTTTGAGTTAAGAATGCTTCCTTGATTTTGCTAAAATTTGCCTGCTTCTCTTCTTGGATATCACATTGTATTCCATCTCACAATGGTGTAGAAATCAATAACTGCTTGAAATGTCATAAATCTGCAAAACTTTTTAACAACTCACTTTTGACTGCAACATCATCAGGCTTGAAAGAACACTAGCTCCCCCATGTGCTGAAAAGGCAGACTGCACACTTGCACCTAGAAGCACCTAAATAGGTCTCCCAGTCTGGAACAACTACGGAGGAGATTCCTCAAAGAAGAGGGGGTTTGAGCTTAAATTGCAGCAAGAGCTACAAGTGGCTCGATCTTCTCAACAGTGGGCAGGCTCAAATAGACAGTGTAGTCACAGCAGTGAACAATACCATAGCATTGAGATTAGGCTGCTGTTTAATCTGGACATTATCTTTTTCATGACTGATTTGTTTGGGGCTAGGTTAGCTTAAAGAAGTCCCACAGCTTGCTCAGTATGGTCATCAGTGCAAAGCCCTGCTTCGTGACTGAACTACTCTCAATAGCATGGTTGGTAGGAATATAGGACAGGGCCTTCCACACCAGTCTGGTATCTTAACAGGCATCCAGTCAGTTAGTTACAATTGTGCTTGCTTTGGGCATATGAGTCGGAGTAGTTTTCTTTTTCTCCTGGTTTTAATGTTGTGATAAAGAAGTTGCTGCTGAATTGTTTTTTGCTGCTTGACATGCTTTATTTTAAAATATATATACTATTGTGAAGTTGTTTTATGCACTGTCTGAGAACAATGCTACAGTTCCTTGTCAAGCATCTCAGGGTTCATAGCATTGTTTGTGGATTCCCCCTTCTGAGGCAGGGGACAGAGCTCCAAATTCACAAGTTTTGATATTAGAAATATCCCCCTCCCCCAAAAGCTGGTACCAAATGAATTGAAATGACTGCCCCCCTGAGGTTGGAAAAGGAGGAGGAAAGGGGGTATTCCATTGGGAAGGGAATGAGGAAGACTGGAGAGGTCAGGTTATGGGTTATCCTGAGCTTCTTCCAATGCTCTTTGTTGTCTCTCCAGAGTGGCTTTGCTAGACAGACTAAAAAGTCTGTCTAGAAAAATTTGCAGGGGGGAAGAATGCAATGATGAAGAATCCCTCCACTGTGCCTCCCAGCCTGCAGTGGATGATTGGATGCTTCTGAATTCAGGATTGTTCCCTTAGGAGCTTTTTGCATAAAAGCAGTTTATTCATAAAATAAAACACTAGCTATGGCATTCTAGGGACACCTCTGCAGCTGTACAAATACAGCCCATCTGGTGAGTGTCAAACTACATGCAGAATGGCTGATTGTTGTAGATACTGCTGAATGGCCCTGAAGTTTAGGCTGCAATCCTGTATATACTTGGGAGTAAACTTGATGGAAACTTACTTCTGAATAGACATGTACAGGATTGTACTTTGGAAAACTTTAACCTTATTGGACGGGTTAGAAATATCCCAAATAAATAAATAAATAACAGAATGAGTTTTGTTGAAGATGCTTGTAGAAGTTTAGATATGGGAAGAGATGAAGTAACCTGTCCCCAAGCCATTTGGGGGTTTAAAGTTTAAAAACAGTGTTTTGAATTGGGCCTGGATATTCAAGTTGTAGTCAGTCCAGGTGGCAGAGTGGTGGCATAATATGATTAGATCAACCAATCCCAGATAGACGAGCTGCCCTATTGTGAGATAACTGAAGTTTCTTGACTGTTTTTGAAAGGCGGTCCCACAGATAACACATTGCAATAATCCAGAGCATGAATGTCACAAGCTATCTCTGTCCAGGTTAGTTAATTAGTTAGTTAATTAGTCTTAAGCTCATTCAAAGTACTTGGAGGCATCAAGTGCCTGTGCCTGTAGTGACAATGTAATGTATAAGAGCATCTGTCACATGACATACCTGCTCCTTTAGGGGGAGTGCAACCCCTTACAGAACAGGTTGAACACTACTTAACAAGACAGAAGAACCACCCACAATGGATATCTTCTTTTTGTCTGGATTGAGTTTTTTTTATTGAATCTTAGCCAACCGATTATTCTGCTGAAGCACTGCTCCAGAATTTATGTATTTATGTATTTATTTGTTACATTTTTATCCTGTCATTAACTGAAATGGATCTCTAGATGCCTTACCATACCAGAAACACAACAGCACATTGAACATATAAATCCAATATATGAAAACATATAATGAATTAAAAACAATCAGCCATTAAAATACTGGGTAAATAAAAAGGGTTTTGGCTGATGGCAAAATGAATAAAGCATTGGCACTCGGCTTACTCTCTGAGGAGCAGGTTCCATAGTTAGTGCGCTACCACAGAAAAAGCTTTTCCCAGGTAGCCACTCTTCTAACCTTGTTCAAAGAGGTATCCTGAAAAACTTCAGTGAAAGATCTCAGAGTTTGAGCAGATGTTCCTTCAGACATCCAGGCCCTAAACCACTTAGGGCTTTATCTGTCATAGTTAACACCTTAAATTGGACCTGAACTTGAATTGGTAGCCAGTGAAGATGATATAGGAGTTATGTTATGTGGTTGAGTCTGCTAATCCTAGTAAGCAATCTTGCAGCTCTGTTCTGTAGCAACTGAAGTATATTGACTGTTTTGAAGGGTAGCCCCATGTAGAGCATGTTACAGTAATCCAGTTGGGAGGTTACCAAGGTGTGAGTTGTTGTTGCTATGCTCTGCCCATCCAGGTAAGGATGTCATTGATGCACCAGCCAAAGCTGATGGAAAGTATTCCTTGCCGCAGCAGTCACCTGGGATTCCAGAGGGAATGTTGGGTCAAGGAGCTACATACCCTACACATTTGCCTTACCTCTAATCAGTGAAAATAAAAGGTAGAGGTGGGGGTCATCCACACATTGTTAATACTTCAGACTGCCTCCCCAGATAACCTCCCTCAGTGGTTTCAAGCATGGGGAGCAGGGGGGAAATAGAGCCATGAAGAGCTTAGCACAATTGCTATGGAGCTGACCATTCATCCCCAGCACCACAATTCAAGCAGGAGTGCAGCCATTGCCATTATACTGCTTTACATTCCAAGTCAAGTGATACAGTACAGAAAGATGGCATGATCAGTGGTAGTGAAAGCTGCTGAGAAAGCAAAGAGAAACAAAAGGATTGACTCTTTCTTATGGGTTGAATATTTATTTCGTGCTGCTGATAAAGTCCTTGCTTACTGTTTTTGTTAACTTTCAGACATCACTGAATTTTGAGAAGCATTCTGAAAGCTTTCCATGGACAGAGAATCGTTATGAAGTTAACCGTAGGCGGCACAACTCTTCTGATGGATTTGATCCTAGTAGTGGCCGTGCAAATGGAGGTTTGTATATGTTTAGTCTCCATATAAGGTGTCGGCCTATTTCATTTTGACTTTTTGTGTAATTCTTCTGTACTTTGTAATTGTTCAAGCATTGAACATTTTTCAGGAGTGGGCAATTTGTGCTCCTTCAGATTTTTTTTATGTAACTTCTATCAACCTTAGCCACTGTAGCTGGTGGAAAGTAAATGAAAATATCTGGAGGGGCACAAGTTGTCCCAAGGGAGATTATATTGAATAAAAGGAAAACTTAAACCCTTTCGTTGTAGTTGTTGAACTGCAGACAAAGTAATAGATTGTTCTTTTTTGTCTATGGTATAAACCACTGACTGTGAAACAGTGGAAAGGTACATTGTATATGATAAGTTAGTACTGTATTTGGGGCTCTTTATTCCTCCTCAAAACTTATTTATTAGTATTATTCATTTATTAGCTATTTTTATTAGTCACCTCATACAACTACATTCTATATGCAATGTGCAATACATTTCAGTAAAACAACATTAAAACATAGCAGAAAATGAAATAATTCAGCATTAAAATACAACTAAGAGATCCTGTCCTGATGAATTCATTTGTTTATATTGTCAGTGTATCTGCAGTCTTAATTTGCTATGTATCAGTTTTAGTCCACAATATCTGTATTTGTTATATGTTTGGCTTTATTTCCAAATCAGGGTAAATTTAAATTGATTGCACTTCTAAACAGTCTCAGAGCTCACATTTAATTGAAGTGAGGTTAGTAGCAGATACAGTGCTTGCTATATGAGGAAACCAAAGGCCAAATACCTGAACATAAAGCCAGAATCAGCTATACATTTATATTATAAACTAAGGTAAAGGGTTAGCTTAAAATATTTTCTGTTTGCTCTATCTGCAGAGTAAAATGACTTAAGAATTTGTGTTTAACTTTTAAAACTTTTGTATTTAATTTTTAAAATCCAAGGGCATTTGGGTAGAAAAGAGAGAAATGGTTGGCGTTCGCAAGGCAGAAATGGTGCTGAAAACACAAACCACAGAGGGGGATACCATAGTGGAGGTTCACGTGCTCGCACCAGCAGCTTTCATTCTGGAAAAAGCCAAGGTTTACATGAAAGCAATGCAACTGAATGTGAGACTCTGAAAAAGGATGACAAAGAAGAGCCCAAACAATTTGAAGCTGAAGATTTCGTAAGTGAATTATAATGCATTCAGGCACTTACAAAAGGAAACAGGTTTAATATTTTCTTTTGAACTTTCTTTAGACTACTGTTCATTTTAAGAGAGTTCAGTCCTATTTCTATCATAAGTAAAAAGCCAGCAGTCTTATGAGGCAAATCAGCTTAATTCCTCAACCCTTGCCAAGGTGTCTTGTGCCAGTCAGTCTAAGTGTGACTCTGAATGAGAATGGAACTATAAAGTTTCCTATACCCCCAGATTACCCTCTTCTCATTCAGGACAAAAGGCCAGGTGCAAAGTATGCCCAGTGGAATGTGTGGGGCTAGAAATAATCTGGGACAGGCCTATTGATGCCATCACAGCAATAAACTCTGTGTTACTTCTGACGGGGAGCCCTAGAGTGGATATTGAAGTCCTCCAGTACAACCAGTCTGGTAAAGTCCAACATCACTTCTTAGTCTTCCCCAGCTATCTCAGGTAGAGATACTCTTTTGGGTAGAGGACATCTGTTACAGCAACAGAACTGTGTGTTTACCGTAAACACCCAGTTTGAGAAAGGCATACACAGAAACTGAAGTCTGCATGGGCCTCCTGGTCAGGAAGATAGATCCCAATAGCCCACTGCTACTACACTTCCTTCTCTCTCCAGATGGAGCCTGCTGCTAAACAAAGAATTTTGGTCGATATGATAGACACATGTAGGCCTCTGATTAGCCCAGCCAGCTCTCTGTTATAATATGCTAGGTCTTGCATGCTCAAGCAAGATCAAACTCTGATAAAAGGTGCTTTCCTCTGGAGTGACCAACTGCAGAACTTTCAGATCTGTTGGGGGTGGGGGGTGTCAGAGAGCTGGAGAGGGGAACCATTTTCCTCAGAGTTGCCCAAAGAAACAATCTTTTTTTAGTGCTGGCATCCTGCCACTTGTAGGTATCCTTAAGGATACTCCCTGCCACTGGAAGTAGCTGTTGTAGGAAACCAACACCAAGTTGAAATGACAGCTGCTGTCTGGAACAGGTTACTGCTATTTTCTGCTGGCTTCCACAGTCTCCTTTCAACTGGTTCCTCCAGTTGGGGCCAGTAAAAGAATCTAACAAGAGCTTGGTGGTAACAGTGTCTCCCTGCTGTATCAGCTGCAACAGGACCAAGGCATATCTTCCCAACCCAGGAGGTGATCTCACGGGCCAATATTTGTGGGGCAGGTCTGCATGGGGTAGATTTTTTTCCCCTCATTTAGGTGGCAAATGGTTCTCTGGCTGTGCTTAGTTCTGACCTTTTCCCCCACCCCAGCAGGGGGAAAAATACAAAGGAGCAGCAGCTTGGTGACAACACATTGTTACTCATCGAGAGATGCTGAAATACAGTTCTCCCTTGGAAATTAAATCATATAAATTGATCATCATTAAGAAAACACCTGTTACTTCATCAGTGAAGTCAATTTATATGATCCCCTATGCATACTTTACTGATCTAATAATATGTTTTATAGTCTGGCACATTAAATTGACAAAACTCATTGCTTTCAACAGGTCCTAAAATAATCAAAACATACTTGTCTTTCCTTTTTTTAAGCCTTCCCTGAATCCTGAATATGAGAGAGAACCAAACCAGAATAAATCATTAGCTGCCGGTGTTTGGGGTAAGAAATCGGACTTTAAAATACAGTTTTTAAAAGAAAGCTTTTGAATGTCATTGTAAATGAATGCATCACATGGTGATACAGTTCTATGCTACTAGCATTACACAATATTATTTCAGTTGTAATTTCTTTTCAAAATGTATATTACCTTAAAATTCTTGTTTTCACTAATAATGGACATGTCTTAGATGGTAAAAGCAGATTTTATTGTTAAAGGTAGGTTGGGGTATGTGAAATGCATAAACTTTTATCCAGTTTTTCAGCAAGTATATCTGAAGTTATGTGTGCATTTTGGATTGTGTGATTATCCTTTGTATCAAGGATGAACATTTTATTATACTCTGATCTTTGTTACAACTTGATTTTTCTGACTGACTTGTGGGGCAACAAAACACCTACAATCAAGGATAAGCTTTTATAGAGGGTTATATTGTGTAAGTCTTCTCTTGCCTGCACTGTTGTTTGTGCACCTAAAGCTAATCTGCTTTAGGTTGACACACATTTTTTTTATGAAAGTGAGACATATGACAAAATATTACAGTACATGCGCTTTTCAGGATGCCATCCAGCTTGCCAGTCATGTCTTCCTCTTTCCATCTCTGCTTGTCTGTTTTGTTTTCTGCCACTCAACATTTTCTGGATACTGAGAACACTCAGTTCTTGTTGAACTTTGTTTTGGGTTTCTTTCTTCCTTTTAAACAATTTTGGGGCACTTCTGCAAACTTAGTTCCTATTGAAAAGGCAGTTCTTGCAGTTTCATGGATAGAACAAACAGCTTTACAAATTCTTTGATCTGATCTACAAAATGTTTTCTTTCTGTATTGAATGTAGCTATGTGATCTAAAATTTTTTGTGTCTTTGCAGAATATCCTCTGAATCCTAAGTCTAGATCTCCACGAATGCTGGTTATTAAAAAAGGCAGCACAAAAGATTTACAGATATCTGGATTCCCAGTGGGAAATGTTCATTCTCAGTCAGTTAAGAATGGAATTGGTACAAGTGTCTATAAAGGTTTAGTCCCAAAACCTGTCATTGCGCCAGCAAAAGTAAGATTTGGCAGTAATGTTGTTTGGGCAGTGGACTTTGTCTTTTTAAATCTTTGGCATTTTCACTTTCTTTGCTTACTGTGTTTATGCATAAAACTGATGTTATACTTACGTACACGAACTTTCATTTACTCATATATATCACACATTTCACTTACGTAGCTTGTCTATTGCCTCCTCTCCCTTTTGTCTTTTTCTTTGTTTGAATTTAGACTATAAGAAGTTCAGGGCAGGACCTGCTCCTATTTTATATTTATATTTTTATGTTTATATTTATATTTTTTATGTTTATATTTTATTAATATCAGTTTGTAATGTTATTTAGCTATACATGTTTGTATTGTGGTTGGGGAACATCAGGTTTGGAGTGGTTTGCCAGATGGTCCTGCCCCGTTCCCCCTCTTATCAACTGTTGTATACTTTCCTGGCTTTTGTGTTGGGTTTACCACCATTCTGAAAGGTTTAAATGCCTCTTTTAATGCTTATTTATTGGCACGAAGAGTTTTAAGCAAAAGTATTCTGGATTTCTTTTTGTATTTTTGCTCCATCTTTTGGCTGTGCTCCATGATGTGGCCCCTGAGAGTTTTTATGAATTGAATTTGGTCCCCATGTGGAAAGAGATTCCATATAAATAGCATTTACAATCCTGTCAGAAGCACTAATTAATTAAACTAATTTTAATGAATTTGTCAAAGTTCAATTTTTAAAATTCTGTTTAGACTGCACAGTGGAAAAGCCAAACAAAAGAAAGCAAACTTGGGCCTCCATTTACTCATGATTCTGCATATGGTATTGGAAACTTTAGTGCTTTCAAATCTACTGCCAAGGCTGTTGGATCACAGAGTTCAGTGAAAGAGGTATGCAAATCTGTTATTTTCTTTGTTTGGGTTCTGATTTTGGCAGGTTGTGTCTCTGTTAACTTGTGAATAAATGAAAAACTGAAATAATGGCATTGGAATAATGGAAACCTAACCCTAACTTTAAATCGAAAGTTTGACAAAAATTAAAATTGCTTTGCAATTATTCTTCATTTCAGTGTTACGTATTTTTAATTTCCTGATAGTGTAATCGGTCAAATTCTTCCTCCCCGGTTGATAAACTTGGTCAGCCCCGCTTAACCAAATTGACACGAATGCGCACTGATAAGAAGAGTGAGTTCTTGAAAACATTGAAACGGGATCGAGTGGAAGAGGAACATGATGAGAATTGTGTGGGGCAAGAGAAGGTACAGTGCATTTTCATAGAGCAGCCTGTGTGTTTCATTTTTATTATTAGATTATCCCATCTCTTAGTCAAATAAAATCAAGTTGGCCAATGATATTTAAACTACAATCAAATAATAAAACATTAAAACAGCTTTTAAAAGCTGTGAAAGAATGTAATCAACAGTAAAGAACAGATTCAGTTAAATGCCAGGTAATAAAATTTTATTCATCTGTTGCATAAAAACAGTGACTGGACATCACACATTGAGACTGTAATTCTGTACACATTTCTGCAGAAGTACAGTTGTGCACTGTAATAGTTGCCTGGGATTGTGCTGTAAATCATGCAAATAGTGGTGGACAATGCATTTCACAGCTGATGTGAGATTTTGCTTGATCAACTGACCCAACCTCTTTGCACAATAATAAAGTATCCCAATGTTTCCTCTAATTTGTGCTAGGGACCTGTGATTTCATTTCAGAATGCTTGGGTAAAAACAAATGTTTTTGTATACTCATAGCATAGCTTACTTTGTACAAAGCTTCTTAATGTCAAAAGTGTTTGGCAAAATAGTGTTTATCTTGTCAGTACAGTGGTACCTTGACTTATAAACATAATCCATTCCAGGACTCTGGTCATGACCCAAATTGGTCGTGAGCCAAGTTAAATTTCCCCATAAGGTTAATCCATTTTATAACCATTTTTTAAATAAGAAAAATGTGAAGCAAAGTGACAAAGAACAAAGATCAAGACCATCTCCCCCTCCCCATCCCAAGCACTAGTGCGGCCATCTCCCTGCCCCCCCAGCATGACCGAGATCGCCCCTATCATCCCTGCATGCACCCATCATCCCAGCGTATTGCGAGGGTGGGGGGGGGGAGAGACGGGCGCGAATGGGCACTCTGGGAGAGGAAGAAACGGGCGCGAATGGGGCACGCTGGGGGAGGGAGAGATGGGCGCGATCTCAGCCATCTCCCCCCCCTGCACTCGGGGGGGGGGGGGGGGGAGGAGATGGCTGCGATCTTGGTCGCCACCCAGTGCAGAGTTCGCGACCCATGTCAAAATTTTCATGAAACCGATTTGGTTGTGAACCAAGGCGTTCATGAGCCGAGGTACCACTGTACTGTGATGTAGAATGTCTATTACTTTTTTTAGGAGCGGGGACCTGCTTTCTTGAGTTTGCCACATACCTTGATTCCACAAAGAGTATCTTTTGAAATGAATTTGTCACATACTGGTATAGTTGGTTACAGAAACATATTACTTCTAAATATCTTAGCTTAAAAGTCAATGGTTGAAATTGACACTGTACAATACACTAACTGCAAATAAGCAAAGTATTCTAATTCACAGTTCATAGAGAATTTTCTTCCTTAGTCATGATGCTATATGGTAGCTTCAGATTCAAAGACAGTATGTCTCTGAATACCAGTTGTGGAACCACAGTAGAGGAGGACTGTTGGCATCATGCCCTTCTTGTTTGTAGGCTTTATATATGGAGCTTGTTAGCCACTATGACATCAAAAAGATACTGGGCTTACATAGGCCATTAGTCTGATCCAGCAGGACTCTTCCGATGTTAAGCTGCAGTGAGATCCAATATGTTGGCTCATTGTATCTTTTTGCACATACAAATAATTGTTTATACTTTTTTGGGAGTTGACTCAGATATGTGTCCATTTTAACAGGAGGATGATGATGAATTTAATTTACATAACAGCAACAATAGTCACCAAGAGAGAGACATAAATCGAAATTTTGAAAATGAAATTTCTCAAGAGAATAGAAATGCTGCAATAATGTCCCAGCAGATCATCCGGTCTTCAACATTTCCACAGACCAATGTCCTTTCAAGCTCGCTTGAAGCAGAGCATCGGTACGCATTTTCTAGAGTGAGCCTTAAGTTTTTAGGGAAACTTATAGAGTGAACTTGGAGTGCATGCTGTTGGGGGGTGGAGAGGGAGAGCCAATCTTGTGACACAGGCAAATATCTACTCTCTCAATGTTGGATGCTGCTCAAGATTTCCTTCAAGAAATTTGTAAGACTATCTGATGTGAACAAACTTAGTATCCATTCTCAAAAGTATTGTAATGTAGATGTGTTCATATTGAAGGAGCTACAAATTTTAGTTGCTTGGGGTGTTAAAGAATTAATTGAAAGAACAAATGGGAAGAACATAGGAAAGCTGAAAAGAATTGTAGCATTTGTCTCTTTATGACAGGACCTGACCTACCTAAACAGTGTCAATTTTACGGCTGTGTCCTTTGATTAATGAAAACTTCTGCATATTAATATCATTCTCTTTAGGGTTGCTGTGTGCCAATTTTTAAGGCACAATCCTATGCATTTTTACACAAAAAGTCCTACAACTCTTAATGTGTCCCAGCTGTGGTCTGTGTGGGATTGGGGTATAAGGAAGTGGAAGTGCGTTGAGCTTCCCATGTTTGAAATAGAACTGCTTAGCTTAAACACATCCTGCCCACTACTACAGTTTTAGGAACCTAGGAAGCTGTCTTACACTGTATCAGAGCATTAATCCCTCTAGCCCAGTATTGCTACCAAAGTCTGGCAGTTGCTGTCTGTGGCTTCAGGTAGGAGTTTTCTGTGGCTTCAGGTAGGAGTTTTCTCACCCTGCCTGGAGCTGCCATAGATTGAACTTGGCAAAATATGGGCTCTTCCACTGAGCTCTGGCCCCTTACTCTTGTTTAGTGTTTATTCATATTAGAGACTGCTTTATTCCAAGAGTAAGTAGCCAATGGTACTTCTGAATGAAATCCTGCTGGAGGGTTTGCATGTAAAAAGAAGAGACAGAGATGCCCATAAAAGAGGAAATTAGGAAGAACTCCCCAAAATATTCATCTTAACACTTGTATAAGTATACAGTTTTTCCCATCTTGTAAAATCTTTTGGCTATTGGGTCTGATTCAACTGAACCAGAAGTAGCCAAGAAAATGAATCAGCTTTTGGATCTAAAAGATCTTGCACTCTGAGCTAGTCTCTTGAGTCTTCTGCTGCATTTTCTAGGTACTGTTGATAATTAATTGAATTGTACTCCTTTTAATGGAGGCCCAATTTACCTGTTTTTGTGTTAGTGACTTTTCCTTGTGTAAAACTTGTACAGAAGCATAAAACAGGACCAAACAGCCCATAATTTCTACCTGGGCTAACTTAGAATGCACATTGTTGTATAAGGTAGCTTATTAGAGTGATTTGGACAGCTAATATAGTTCTAAAAATATATGTAGATCCCTGGTCTAAAACAAGATTTATTTGTAGTTTGAGTTGAACTTACAGTTTCAATAAAAGTGAATATTCATTCAGGAAGACCAAGAAATTTTAAGAGAAAAATGTACGAGTGATGAGAAGAAAGAGTTGACAAATAAATGCTGTAAATAGCTACATTCAGGGCAATTAGAGTGAGATTGTTAGTTGCTTTTGAAACAGGTATTAATAAATGAATCTCTCTCTCTCACACACAGATTGTTAAAGGAGATGGGTTGGCAGGAAGATAGTGAAAATGACGAGACCTGTGCTCCATTAACAGAGGATGAAATGAGGGAATTTCAGGTCATTAGTGAACAGGTGAGAGAGAAATCTGTGTCTAAGTACGTGTATCCTAAGTGAAGTATTGTGTTGAATACCTTTGTTATAAATGTTCATATTGTATTCAATACATTTTCACTGTTCAGGTGGCTTCATTATCTTTGAATGCTTTGAAAGGCAGTGACACCAAAATATTGATCTTCTTTCTTAATAGGAGAACTGTAAGCTTCTGCACAAGATGGAAGGGCTTTTTCATGCAGCAGCAGAAAGCTTCCCCCCCACCAAAAAAAGCCTTGAATTCTTATGTACCTCCCAATTCTTATGTACCTCCCAATCCTACCTTTTCCTCCTTATGCACAGCCTGGTAGAATCAGTTCCTCTGATTCTGATTCAGAGGAACTGGAGGGGGAATAATGATGGATAAAGTAGACATTAAGTCCTACAAAATCTTACAAGCATTTTTTTAATTAATTGAAGGGATGTGTGGAAAAATAGACTGAAAAATAATGATTTAATTTTTTAAAGGTTATAAAAAGGTCTGTGGTTTCATGTTATGAAAAGTGTCCAGTTTGGTTTTATAGAATAGTGATAAGCATAATTTGCATATGGTAGGCATGCACAAGGGAAACAACTGTGTAATACTTTGTTTACCAAGAATGATACCATGTTTTGGAATAATTCAGGGAAAAATCCATGTGTTTTGTCCTTATTCTAGTGCTAAATTTAAAATTAAGATTTAATAGCATTTATCTAATGATTAACTTGTCTTCTATAATAATATAAACATTAAAACAGCATAATACAAAGGCTACAAAAGTAACAATAGACCTTAGAAGTAGTATTAGCTATGTATTTATCAAATGTTGTTGCCATATATAAAATTCAGAATCTAATATCTTATGCAAAACTTGGTGCTGTTGATTCTATCATATTCAAACTTCTAAGTTTTGTTCACTTTTTAACTTTCAGTTGCAAAAAAATGGCCTTAGAAAAAACGGTATTTTAAAAAATGGCCTCATCTGTGACTTCAAATTTAGTCCTTGGAAAAACAGCACTTTCAAACCAACACTTGAGAGTGAAGACACAGAGACAAGCAGCAGTGACACATCAGATGACGATGATGTATGAAGATTGCCTGAGAGCATGAGGGTTTCCGTCTTGCATCTCGTGCAGTTTGAGAAGGAGTTGTTCAAAAGAGGGGAGAACTATAATTTTATGTAGTGATATGCCCCATTAGAGGAAGGATCTTTGGGACTCCTCGTGAAGGAACCTAAGAATGTTGTGCTGATGCGCTTTGAACATGACTATAAATTTCTTTGTAAATGGATGTTGTAGAAATGAGGACTTTGCCCTGACATTGACTTTGTTCATCACTGCAGCATTTCTCTGACTAGCAATGTGACAATATAAGAGAATGAGATTTTCTCATTTAATAATAAAAAAAGATTATGTACTGTTTGGCAAAGTTTTTGTCTTAAAACTGTACAACTCTAAGGGACAAAGGGGCAGCTTGACCCAATATATTGCTTACTGAGACAGATTTATTTACAGTGGAAATTCCAGTGTTCACTTTGTGCACCAACAATAGACAGTGTAGCATGTTGGCTAAAAATAACAAAAAGTGCACTAAAACATCAATTCCCTGAACTGTTATAACTGTTCCACTTCTTGAAACATACCAGTAATTCTTTAGCAGTTTATACTACAGTAATTATGAAGAGACTTGCTTCAATTCCAAACTTCATGGAAGTGGTATAAATCAAAAGCTTTATTTGGATGCTGCAAGACCCAGGAATTGGGATCCTCTACAACGGGCGCTGATTCTTGTGGGGAAAATAAACATTATTTTGATAAATTATTCAGATGCAGAAATTATTTCTCTGACTGGATCCATCCATCACGTTCAGAATAAAATGTCTTCTAGAATTATAGAATAGTAGAGTTGGAAGTGGCCAGAAGGCCACTGGGTCCAGCCCCCTGCTCAGTGCAGGACATCTCACTCGGATGCCTGTCTAGTTGCATCTTGAATGCCTTTAGTGTGGGAGAGCCCACAGTCTTCCTAAGTCATTGGTTCCATTGTCTTATACTGCCTTAGTATATAGCACTTGAATATACTTGCATATATGGTTCTGCAATTAACTGAGATCACTGCACTTGGCTTTTGAGAATTAAAAAAAGGGGTTGTGTTTGCCACAATAAGCAGGTTTGTTCTTATTCTGAATCTGAAGTGCTGTTTAATGTGCATGATACAAAATAGTTGTCTAGTTTTGCAGTGACCACATCTATGTTCAACTAAACTGGTATACCCCATTCACATACACAGCTGGCACAAACAAAAGTAGATGCAGAGTTGGGTCTCCATGATTGCTTCTTGCTAGTTGCTATTTTGCTCTCTAGTCTCAGCTTTAAATTAGAAGCCTAATTAGTCTGTAGAAATCCTTTTTATAAATTATCTGAGCTGACTGATACGTATTTGAAGCAACAAGGTTTTGAAAACATCTACATGTTTTTGCTATACCTAGGAGGATTTAGGCACCAAATAAAAGTTAGAATTGGCTTCATAAAGGCAGACTTTTCTCTAAGAACTAAATTTTTAGAATAAATATATCCTTCAATATTGTAACAGTCATCAAAAATAAGAACTCAAATAGTTCTAAGAATGGTCAATACTAAAAACTGTTAACTAGTAATGGTTAAAAATAGTTTAAGAACTGTCTAAAGCAAAGATCAGGGTACGTTTGAAACCTTTTCAACCTATTTTATAAGAAAATTGTAATGCAGAGCACATCATGCAAAAGGCATGATGTGCTCTGCATTAGATGAATCACAAGTTGAAATTAAGATCACTGGGAGAAATAGCAACCTCAGATAGGCAGACAATACCACTCTATTGGCAGAAAGTGAAGAGGAACTAAAGAGCCTCTTGATGCGAGTTAAAGAGGAGAGCACAAAAGTTGGCTGGAAACTCAGCATTAAGAAACTAAGATCATGGCATCCAGTCCTATCACTTCCTGGCGAATAGATGGGGAAGAAATGGAAGTAGTGACACATTTTATTTTCTTGGACTCCAAGATCACCGCAGATGGTGACTGCAGCCAAGAAATGTGATGCTTGCTCCTTGGGAGGAAAGCTATGGCAAATCTAGACACCATACCAAAAAAGGAGAGACATTACCATGCTAACAAAAGTTCATATAGTCAAAGCTATGGTTTTCCCAGTTGCAATTGTCTGGCTATGAAAGTTGGACCATAAGGAAGGCTGAGTGGCAAAGAATTGAGGCCTTTGAATTGTGGTGCTGGAGAAGACTTCTGAGAGTCCTTTGAACTGCAAAGAGGTCAAACCAGTCAATCTTAATGAGATCAACCCTGACTGCTCTTTAGAAGGCCAGATACTGGAGATGAAACTCAAATACTTTGGCTACCTAATGAGAAGGAACAACTCAATGGAGAAGACCCTGATGCTGGGGACAAGTGAGGGCAAAAGGAGAAGGGGATGGCAGAGGATGAGGTGGTTCGATGACATCACTGAGGCAGTGGATGTGAGCTTGGATGAACTCCGAGGGATGGTGGAGTACAGGAGACCCTGGAGGAATATTGTCCATGGGGTCGTGATGGGTTGGGCACAACTTTGGGACTGAACAACAACACCCCCCCTTTCCAATAAGCATTTATACTTAACATGGAAACAAGCATTATCTCAAAGTTAGACCTTGAACGATGTGTATTCCTCAGTTTTGGGTAAAAGGAAAAGGAAACTTCCCAAGTGTGACTGCTGGCAAACATGTAATTGAGTATGTCAAATGGATAGGAGTGTACCCCTGTATCATCTTATAAAGTATATCTTTAAGGGAACGGCTTCTGATCAGAATTTTAGACTGATTCTGATTGTATTTCCATTTGAAATGTCAGAGTGTAAGCCTAAAGTGGTGGAACATTCTCATAAGCCACATATTCATGTTGCTAGATAATTTTTGATTGGATTCTATCATGAGCTGGAGTCAGTACTCTAGTGTTATGCAGGTGGTATAAACTGAATCTCTTTTTGAAACCATTGGAGAGCCCAGGTAAACTGGAAGCAAAGGACTTGGGCTGAACACATCAAAGATCTCCATTCTCTATGCTAGTACTGGGTGTTTTTTATGATTCAGAAAACCAGGATGTCATGCAGAATATACTTACTTCCTCAATTTAAGTTAAAATTTGTAATCAAGTAGTTCTTTGGGCTTAAATCATTTAAGCATTTTTATCCTAAGTCAGGCCACAAGGTGTTTTCATAGTGAGTTGCATAAGATCAGGGGTCTCAAACTCAACTTACCTGGGGGCCACTGGAAGTAGAGTCTGGGTGAGGCTGGGCCGCATCAAGTATTGCACCACTGCGGGGGTGGTGGGCCGCTCATCCCGCTTCGCTCCCGGAGGCCGGCCCGGGCGCCGCCAGTGCTTTGAAGGCCGCAGGGCCCCTCCGCCGTGCCCCGCCCCTCCCGGCAATTGGCCCGCGGGCCGCGCATTTGAGACCCCTGCATAAGATCAATAAAAACAGTAAAAGGATTGAATCCAAACCTTGCCAAGTAGGTGTACATTAATACAACAAGACATCCTCCTCATCTTTCTCCTGCAATCTCCTGTGTGTGGTGGAACCAGTCTGCTTCAGAGATCTCCAGCAGATTTTTTTGAGTGGAGCAGGGGCTGCATCTGTTCTACCAGTGGTTTCATTCCATTCACAGATTAACACTATTGGACATTGAATTGCTTATTAAAAACATAAGATACCTCACTTTGCTTCTTCCTCTTGCTCACAGGAAGAAGGGGGTCAAAGGAGTTTAGTACAAGCTTCTGAACCCAGGAGCTGGTAGAAATGATGTAACAATGCTGCTGTGCCTGAGAAGAGAGTTGTACTTATTTGTTATTTGAACGGGTATTAGGGTACTTGCCATGACTTGCAGAGCCTCTGTTGATTTTCCATAAATATGGGCACCTTTATCTTCCCTCTTCCAGTGTTCAAAGTGGTGTGGGATACTCTTTAACTGGAAGAAATGAATCTAACCTATTTTGAAATAAACAATCCCATCTTTCCCCCCTTCTCCTTTCAGCCCTTACTTCTAGTATGCTTGTTTCAAGAGAGAACTAGTTTTGTCACACTGCCATGGAATGGAGGCAGCTTCAGAGATATGGGAAGAGAATTAATATGAAACTGACTGCATCATAATAGTGCTGGCGGTTACAGATACAGAGATTAATTCGAGCTCTGCCAAGCCAGAATAGGAAGATGTGGTTATTCCATAATTATATGAATGTAAGAGAATGTAAGATTTTACTTTTTTAAAAAAAATGGAAGTGTTATGCTATACTGCAAAAATGTAGTTGATATTAACCAGAACACTTAAAGTATACTTGCTAAGCCAATGCATATAGTTCAAAAACCTTAATTGCCACAGTAATAACTCAACATGCTTACTCTGTCATATGAGGGTGCAAACCTGTGCAATCATACACAAATATATACAGATTATAGGCCTTTTTCAGGATAAACCTGCATAAGGTTACACCTTTAGTTACTTGTAATGGAGATATAAGGGTGGAATGCATGCATACAATAGCTCAATTCTTACTAGGAATGCAACAGACAAATACCAAGTCTATATTTGGGCCTCAGTAATCCACTGAATGAATTTCATAGTGTTGTGAGAACAGCTCTATTTCAATAAGCAGGTCTGAAGGAATTGTTTAAAAATCCAAGTAAATAGGTTGCCCTTTATTGATAAAAGTGAGCATAGAACAAACTGCCTACTGAGCAATTATGAACAGGTTGTAAAGTCAGAATGCATTACTAATGTAAACTGTCATGAATGGCATAAGAATTCTAGGGCACTGCTAGGTCAACCTGGCACACAAATCTGGTGTCCTGCAAATATTTTGGGTTACAGTTCCAAGCATCCCTGCTCATTTGGCCAAGCTAGCTGGGGCCGATGGCAAAATCTTGTTCTTTTAGTCTTTTTAACCAAGAATTTATGGTGATCTGAAGATTATGGTCAGGGGTCGGCAACCTTTAACACTCAAAGAGCCATTTGGACCCGTTTTCCACACAAAAGAAAACACCGGGAGCCGCAAAACCCTTTTGACATCTAAAATGAAGGTAACACAGCATATATCATTTTTTACCTTAATGCTATGTATATCTTCATTATGATTTAGCTGCAGCTCTTGTTCAGTCACTAAAAACTGTTATTTTTAATCTTACATTATAAACTAGTAGGACTCCTTGCATATATTTTGAATAGGCGAACAGCTTCCTGAAAAGTCAAAGTAAGTGCTAAAGGGCTGCATGCATTAAACAGCAAACCCCATAAGTTCGTCAGCAGTAAAAGCAAATGAATCTACCCACGTACCATTAAACGTTTGGTTTTCTTCAGAAACTTTTCTTCGATTTATCCATGGTTGGCCTAGGGGGGGGGGGGCAC